CTGCTGGCACTTCTCGTGTTTTGTTTGATGAAATCATCTATACTGAATATTAAAAATACTCATTATAAAACAAACAAACAAACATTCTGCAGCTCCACCTAGCTGTTACTTAAGAGGAAAAGGCATTAAAGAAAGAAAATTTTTTTGGCAATCACACAACATTTCTGTGTGTTAGAGAGCTCAGCTCAAAGGATCTTGTTCAAGGTGAATTACTCAAATTTCTATCAGTGACAATCACCTTGTCGCCTAGAGCTGGACGTCTCTTCCCAAATCGGAACCACAGTCATTTCAAAACTCCCTAAGGAAGCCGATACCTCACACACTGCTCAAGGCCCTGATGAGGAGAACATTCCTTAGCTCCATCCTGGAGCTATCCTAGGAGACAGGAATTGTCTCCTCCAGTTTCAGGCTGTGGATAAGGAAGGCTTTCATACGTAGTAGTAGGGATGGGGAAGAGGAGGAGGACTGAATTAATTCCCCATCCAAGAACCCCGACAGCCACCCGGCTGTGCCACGGGAACGACGTCGTTTTGATCATTCAGCTCTGGCATTTATGATTCTATGATTCTATGATCATTCAGCTCTGGCATATTGCTTCAGTTTTACATTTACTGGTATTTACTCTAATGTAAAGGGCTGTTCTGAAATGTTACCATATCTCACAGTAGTACTATAAAACAGATCTACTTTTTAAAATAGCACTAGGAGGTCAGAGCAACCCGATGTTTTTTTTCCCCTAAATGAAGGCTCTCTCTAAGGCAACAATTTTATGGAGCACCTGCACAATACTAAAGGAGGGCCTGGGAACCTTGAATTACTAAGACAGAAGCATTTTACAGTAACATCTCTAGATTTTAATAATACACTGCCCAAACACAGAGTGAAATAATCTGAGATCAAGTCTTCTCTATTCCTTCTCCTTAGGATTTCTATACTTTTTATTCCCCTTTGGGAACTTCTGTTACCTGTACCAAGCAAGAGGCAGAATCACAGGGCTCCTGTGCTTCCTCAGCAACAAAAGCAAGCCGAGGGGAAAGCACATCATCCAAATTACACATCTTTGTACAGGATTTGCAATGCTGTGACAATAGCACTAGAATTCCCTGAGGCAGCCAAGCCAAAGAAATCTGAACAAGCAGACATGACAAAAGACCAATAAGAACATTACATATTCCTGCTTCTTTTGCTGTTATTTACAGTAAACAAGGACTCTGATGCCATCTTTGTTGCACTACAAACCTCAGGCTGTGAAGGAAGAAACGATGGTAAGAGGAGACCAGAGAGGCGCTCTGGGTGGCATCACGCTGCGAACGGGAGGGATGGAAGGCACAGATGGCAGGTGAGCACCGAGAAAAATCGGGAGGATGCAGCAAAGTAACAAATGCTGCATTAACAGCTCACATGGAGATCTGATTTTATAGAAAGAACAATGTAAGAGAGGAAAGGAGAGAGGATTTCAGAGGACAGCAAGTTCTACAGCTTTCATACTCACACTTTGCATGTATTTAGACTGATGAAAATCTGTAGTTTTTAGAAATGGGAAAACCTTATTTCCACTTTATAGTTGAAAAGTTTAAGGCAGAAAGAAGCCAGCTCTGCAGGCAGCGCTCCTCGGGAGGCTTAACACAAACAAGAGGGTGAACTTTTTTAACCATAAAATAAAATCTTGCTTGCTGCAGGCTTCTGTGGGAACCAACACAGAAGTGTGTTGAAAAGACTCAGAACTTCATCGAGAACTGGCTATGAAGCCTGATGACAGAAACACAACTGCGAGCCCAAGAAGGCGCGAAACGAAGACGTGATGAAAGGCAAAGAGCACGCGGGGCCCGGCCACGCCGTCACCTGCCCGTTGCAGAGCACGGCTGCAGCTCAGTTAAAGTGCAAACGTTGTAACTCACCAGCCCTCTTAATCCTCTTCCTCTCCTTGAGCTGGTAGGGCTTGTGGTCGTGGGACAGGGGGATGGCGTTCCCGTCCTTGTCGCACAGGACTCCTCGCGAATCGCCAACGTTGGCCACCGTGAGCTCCTTATCGGAGAGCAGCGCGATCAAACACGTTGTACCTGGGCAGAAGGAGAGAGGCTGCAGTTAGGCGCGGCGGGGGGGCCCCCCCAGCCGTTACCTGCGGCCACAGGCAGCAGCGGCTGCGCTTGAACCTCCTGGGAACAGCTTGTACTGCTGCGAACTGAGAAAATTCACCTTGTAATTATTTAATCTTCACTTACGCAGAAAAAAAATTTATCAATAATTGACCACAGCACCCAACAGACCTGATACCAGGAAAAAATGGCAATTTTTTAAGTGCTCACCCTACACTTTTTTCTTCTCCTAATGTAATTAATGTAAAGTAGAATGGGATCCCATGGGAACTCACCTCTGCACATCTCCTCCTAGCCAGGTATCAATGGCTGCACTCGCAAACATCGAGATATTAAAAAATATCCCTTTCAGAAACTCTAGACCAGATGTTACAATTTCATTAATGTTTTAGAACAGAAAGTTGCCAAATACCTTTTTAGATACACATGAGCAAACATTAAAGGGAACACCCTGACAGCGCAGATTACAGACCAGTACTAAAACTCATTTATTTTCCCATTATCGCAAATCGTACTCCAGTATCTTCCAACAGTAAATAAAATTAATTTCATGGTCATTTCCTTTCCCTTTCACACAAACCAGAAAAGTGCACAGTGAATCTTCATCTCAGCTGTTAATTTACATCTGATTATTCATAAAAACCAGGTGCCTGCCCTTCCCAGAGAGGAAGCTGGCGGGGAGCTGCTCCAGGCGGGCAGGGGATGGTGACAGGCACCCTGAGGAGCTTTGGGGACCGTCTGATGCCGCTTGCTGGTTTATCTGTGCTAGGACGAGGAGGGCGCATGGATCCCCTTGGACACGGGCTGCTCCCGCTGCATCCGCCACCACGTGCCGGGCAGGATGGAGCCACCAACCCAGTGGACACCGAAAGGGTCCCCAAAGCAGCAGCAAGGAGCAGTCCCGCGTGCCGGACACCATCGGCAGCCCCTCCGGGCTCGAACGAGGGCCCCGCTGCAGTTCTCACGTCAGGGCAGGTTGTGTCTGTCCCAGCCCAGACTGACGAGCGGCGTCTGGAGCTTCCCATGCCCACAGCCCCACGTCCCATGACTGGTATAAATAAAAGAGCCAGTAATAACTGCCTGTGTTTAGATGCACTGTGTTTGTTCCAAAGATTTATTTTTAATTTAATGGTCTGCCTGGCACAGCTCTGAACTAGAACTACGTCTCACAGGCAGGAATCCCCTTTTGCTTTTGCACCGGAGACACGCGAGGAACTCAGGAAACCGGCTGCCTGCCCCAGAAACAGCTGGCCTGGAGCTACACGGGACACCCCCGTCCCAAAGGGCATGAAGAAGGTGGCAGGAAAAGGGACATGTGGTGCTGGCAGCTCGGACACAGAAGGCTGCAGCTGCTCGCGGGGCCACAGCAAAATGGGCATGAACCGATGAAACGCAGGACGGGCGAAAACCACAGCCCGTTTGGGAGGAATCAGGAAGGACTCGTCCAGTTCCGGAACAACGACCGAGCCCTCCCCTCATCTATCACCCAGCTCATTTTCTGTCTCGTGTTGGAGCTCCCTCTTTTCCATCCTTCACTGTCATCTGGACCTGACATTTCTGCTTCTGAAGCGAGTGCCCGAGTTCCTTGTCTCTCCGGTGAACAAGATGACCCCGTGTTCAGCAAATTCCACCTCCCTCGTGACAGCACCACAGCACACGTTTTCCTGCAGCTGTAGCAAAAACCTAGTGTTTCCGAGTAAGAAAAATATTGCAGCTAACATTGACTAACTTTCAACTCACAGAGACTTAATGTTTAGAAAATGAAACACTTCAAAACCACAGTCGTTATTATAACACTCCAGAAAAATGGTAACTTTGAATAGAGTCCTATCAGTTAGGGGAGCTATGTGACTGTAAAAACACATGGATCTGAAACAGAAGCCAATTTCCAAAGTGATTTACGAAGGATTCGCCGCTTCCATCTCCACCACCACCCCGACCGGTGGCCGGGCCATCGTTCAGTCCCTGACCCCACAGTCCAGCCACATTTACACAAGAAACCCAACTTATTTTGCTCTGTTTTCTTTTCCATCTATTTTTATTTTAGCCATTTAACCTTGTGTGGAGTTAGAAAACATTGTGCTCTTGTCAGCTGCCTCAGATTTAATGCAATTGCACAATGGAAAATTCCCGACATAAAGGGTCCAGAATTGAGCGCACATGTTATATTAGTCTCTCTGTGTAGTTGCCTGAATAAATACCCTGCTGAGGAGTTTAAAAAGAAAATCACCAGAAAATGTAAACCCTGTAGCACGCGGGCTGCAGAGACAGGGGATTTTTTTGTTTGCCTTTATTTTTCCCCCTTAGTCGGATAGGATTATTGGGGTTATATTTTAGTATTAGATAAGGTGCATTGTACAAGTCAAGGTTGCACCAGCTCTACCATTTCTAATGCAGCTGCTTTAGCTAAAGAACAAAACTTCAGCAGAGCACGGTCGAGACGCGATTAGCAGGTGAGCGGGAATGAGGGACCCGGCTCAGCCCGAGATCCGCTCCAGCGGCCACGGAGCTGCGAGGAGCGAGGCCGGGGATCCGCCAGGATCTGCCAGGGACACCCACGTCTCTGGGCAGGAGGGCCCTTAGTAAGGGCCACCTTGCAAGAAAATACCTGCCCAGGCCACCTTGCCAAGGAAAACACCCAGCTGAGAAGCTCGGCAAGCAGCCCAAGTGGACAGGGCAGCGAGGCCACCCAGGCTCCAGCTGCAGCTCTCCAAGCTGCTCCTCCTCTTCCTCCTTGCTCCCTTCGCAGCCTCCTCGCCCCGAATTTCCTTTGCAGAGAACACTCACAAATGAGAGGTTCCTCCCACCAGCTTCTAACCAGCACTGCCCTTTCATAGGTTCTTCTCAGATGATACAGGCCGCAGTTTCTCACGCGCTGGCTCTGCTCAACCTTTCTCCCTGGGTTTGACACTCCTGGCTCACTGCGTCGCACCCCTGTGCCCCTGTGCTCTAGTGCAGGCAGGTCTCAGTGAGGGCCCTCCTTAGGAAACACTCCATTAACCTGGATAATCTCCAGGGCCACCGCTCCTTCCTCGTCTCAGCTGATCGCGCTGTTTATAGCGACTGCCTGGGGTTGTCTCCTGCTCCATTTCCCCGTTATCCCCTGCAGCTTGGGAGTGAACCAAGCCTCAGCCATGTCAGAACAACACGAAAAGTGTAGAAAAAAAACAGAGCCACTTAAGCTTTCCATGCTGCGCACACACCGCAGGCAGTGCAACTAAACCCCTGAATACAGCCCAGGGGACAGGGAAGACTTGAGGGAGCATTGGGGAGAAATCTCCTTCCCAGCATCAGGGACACGGATGAGAGGAGGGCAGAGGAGCGGCCGGAGAAACGTCATCCTGTTGAGATCGCAGCCCCCGCAATGCTCCAAGCGACCGCGTCCGCCCTGAGCGGCAGATCAAACAGTCCCCGGAACCAACCCTTCTCCACTCCGAAAAAGTAACCCAAAAATCCTGCAGTTATCTGCAAATTCGAGGCGGATCTCACCGCAAAAACTGCGGCCGGGGTGGGTGATTTTCATCCCTGCGCCGTGCGACTTCCTGCTTGCCACTTCGGCGCTGCACAATGCGGGTGAGGGGACCGTTACAAACACGCGTGCACCGAATGCTGCGTGGTGTCTGCACGGTGGCACTGGAGGAGCGACGTGTCCTCCAGCAAAGCCCCACACTTCCCGGTTCCTGACGGGCTTCCCGGCCTCCCGGCGCAGGGGCTGCCCGGAGCAGCGTATCCAGCACCACCGCAACGGGCACAGCCGGCAGCCCCCAGCGCCCGCTTCCCCGGCCCGGCGCAGCCCCAGGAAACGTCTCCAGGGTGGCACCACCAGCCCGCAGCTCCAGGCAAAGGGGACCAGGTCCCCTCTGGGGTTTTTGCTGTAATTTACTAGTCCTCAGCAGAAAACAGAGCACTGGGTCAAGGTGACCGGGTTTAACACACACCTTTAATGTGAAATAGAAACAAACCCTGATACGCTAAAGAAGGCGCCGAGTGTAACGTGGAAGCTAAGTGAGCTCTGCAGCAATCGTGCAGCTATGAAGAGTAAAAACCATTACCGTGTAAGCTGGAAAAAAGCAGAATTCTCATTAGCAGCAATCAAGAAGTAACAGAAGGGCGCTGTTTTAGACCATGTTCCTGAAATTGAGTAGCTGGAAACCACCTAAAACCCAAGCGTCAGCGGGGCAGAAAGCAGCGCCGGGGCCGCCCGGCCGGTCCCCGTCTGGCGCTGCCGCGGGGGGAGCCAGGCCC